ATCATCATCATCATCTTCCTCCTCGTCATCACCATCATCATCAGCATCATCATTAGGAAAACTATTGGATAAATATAACAAACAATAAACAGCGAACAACTATGTAAAACAGGCAAAACATGTAATCATTTGATCCGTGATGAGTAACCTGATACTTGTCATTCTTATCCACTCTTCTACATTCTAAAATCATCCAGCCAGCCAGCTAATTCCTTCAAATATTCTACTTATAATTGTGCTTTTACAACTGTTTTGCAACTCAAACACTACACTAATTCAATAAAAATAAAACAGAGCAGACGATTTGCAAAATTTAAGCCAAAAAAAGCAAAATTACTTGTTTATTGCCCTTAATTAAACATCCAAGAGGCCAGGTCTTGCTAAAAAGACTATTTAAAATTTGTCAATTTAACTCAAAATGTATCTGGCTAATAATTTCAGTTGATCCGCTATTTACAATTTTACTAATGACGATAACAGTCCCAAAATCAATAAAGTGAAGGTAAACCAAATGTATCATCATCATCATAAAGAAACAAAGTAATTGTCTGCTTTTTCACTTTTTTCAAATGCATAAAATCTAGTTAGCTCAAGTACATTTTTTTTCTCCATAGATAACAACTTTCTCCCAATTATGTCAACTAAATTAGCAGTTTTTTGTTGCCTATTTCCAGCTGACCTTTCTCATTCTTTCTTTTCTTACTATTACTGTTATCACTGTTATTGTGGTCGTCTCTCCATGTTGTTGTTGTTATTGACCGCCGAAGCTAATCAAAAAAATGCGAATCATCTGGAACCTCCCTGTTTTTCTTTTAGTTTCTGCTCCACAGTGTGTTTTTAACACATTTTTTTAATTTGATTTAGTTTCAAATTCTATTCGTTTTTAACACAACAGAACAAATCAATTTTTGAATTCAAAATTTTTTTTATGTGCTACTCTTCTGGGCCTTTTATTTTTATTTTTTGCTTCAGAGGAGGGTGGTGGGGAGGGGGGGTAAGGGAGAAAAAAAAGAGATGATAGTTAACTAATATGATACAACTGAACAACAACAATAATACAGCACCTACGCTATTCCATCCCCTATAAACTCCTCATTTTTTCCTTCTTTTTCCAGCTCCGCAAACTCCTTTCATCCCCTTTTTTTCTCCTCTTTCACTCTATACTGAACTGCCATCACCATCACTAAATTTTCACTTTATTGTTGTTGTTGCCCAATTTTCATCTAACTGTCACAGACTTTCTTTTTGACTTTTTCATCAATATCAACAACAGCAACAAGAATAACAGTAAAATCCTTAAGAACTTTGTTTATTTAAAGCACAGATAATTTAAGCAAAAAAAAAAAAAAAATTTTTGAAGGTTTAATTTTACAGGATAAAAAAAAAAAAAAATGAAAGAATCATTGTCGGATTAGTGCTGCGTTCGAGGAGAGTTTTGAAGAAAGGGGCTGGATGGAGAAGTGAGTGCGGAAAACAATCGGTGCTTTTTGTTCAATGAAGTTTGTCTGACAAACCAACAAAGAAGGAATCAATGATTTCAGGACGACAGATGGCTGGCAGTTCCTGAAAGCTGATCGATAGCGCTGCCGCTGTTTTCTGTCTGCTTTTTGGTTTTTCTGTTTTTATTTTCTTCCGGATGACATAACACCAAAGTTTAAGCCATTCATTTGACGCGTAACTGCTGCTCTGGGGCTCTTTACGTGACAACATTTCCTAATCATTGTTTTAACTTCACTTTTCTTTCCTTTGTTTCTTCCTTTTCATCTTCACCCACTTATGCACACAAATACACAGACATACAGATGTACCCAAAGTCTCAAGGATACAGAAGATATTATTAAAGGGGAGAGAAACATTCAGTAACATCTACACAAACATCTTTCTCTTTTTTTTTTATTTTTTAAAGAATTCTTACATTAAAAAAATGATATGTATTGAAAGGAGGTGACAAGAGCTAAATTCAAAATAGAACTAATTGAAATACAGAGTTAAGCAAAAAATAGAAATGTCTAAGAAACAGTTAGATTGGAAGGGGGGAAGAAAACAGCTTCAAGCTGTAGCAAGTAATAGATGCGAAATTTTTCATTTTTCTTAAAGAATTTTATGCATAAAGTTGCTGAGCGATCAAGATTTTTTTTTCTTCAGTGTTTAGATAAAATTTTAGCGACAATTACATTGTCAACTGTCATATATGTATCAAATGAAACTGGTAAAAATCATTGATAATTCAAACTGATATACTAAAGTTTGAATGTCTTTTAAGTCATCTTTCTCCCTCCCCGTCATCCTTATGCTTTTAGCAGCAAACCTTGACGATAGCAAACAGCTGATAATAAAAATTAGATTATTAATTAGATTATTCTTTTAACTTCAACACCAAATAACACTTCCACTTTTCAATTACCATTTCTGTTTGTTCAGAACAAAATCAACTTTTTTTTTCCCCGCAATCCCTGATTCCCTTTGACGTGCGAACTGCCTACTGTCTAGTCCGTTTCACTGAATTTTTCTTGCTATTGTTGCCAGAAAGACTGGTAAAGCATAAAGTAAATCGATTGAAAATTATATATCGATGTATATTATAACTGCAACGACAAGTTGCTTTAACAGACTGCCAGTTTCCACAAACACACACACATACACACAGTTATTCAAAACAAAAAATTTATTCTTCTTTTTCAACTCACCAAAAAATAGAAAAAAAAAAAAGGAATTTCTAATTCATTGGTTAAACTACACTTTTCTTATTCCAAAAAATTTTTATTATTTCATCCCCTTATTAATGTTATTTTGCTGATCATCTCTGAATCATCCTTATCATCATTTGTCTAAAAAAGAAAAAAGAAAAGTTAGCATACGAAGAAATAATAACAATCGAAAAAAAAAACAAAAAAAATTTAATTTTAAAGATCTCAAAACGTAAAATGTCAGATCATTTTAAAAATCGAGAATTTTTCTTTTCCGCCCGTTTTCATTTGATCGTCAAACTCAGAAAGCTGTCTGTGAAGTGTGATGCGTATTTTCAGCTTAAGCAACTTAGTAGCAACAGCAAAAAATCCAAACAGCTAAAGCTTTGGGCTAGGCTTAGCTGCTGCTAGTAAGCTTTAACCAAAGCACTTAGAGTGCAATAAAAGACTGCCTCAATAGCAAAATTGCAGAAGCAAATTATTATTAAAATCTTAAACTTATTTCCTTCTTCAACATCGC